AAAAGTTAATAAATTCGTAAGGCAGGAACGCCCCTTTGTAAAAACCATGCTGAGATTCGTTGATTAATTTATGCTTTTCAAGGTGGCTACGAACTGCCTCGGCAATTATTGATTCCATAAATTTTCCACTTGGAGGTTAGGCTTATTGGTCTATAGTTCGAAGCTAAGGACCTGTCACCTGCTTTGAAAATAGGTATCACATTTGCCATTTTCCATTATCTGGCACCATGCCAGTTTGTAGTGATATGTTGAAAAGTTAGCCAAAGGTGTGCTAAGCTCCTCTTTACATTCCTTTAGAACCCTTGCATACAGTTTTATCAGGGCCTGGGATTTGTTAGGTTTTTAAATTTAAACTATTTGCCTAAGGACCATGTCACTTGTGACCCTATAGTGCCCCAGTTTATTTTCGTCCTGTTCTACATAATTTATCATTACTGGAATATCGCTGGTATCCTCCTGTGTAAAAACTGAGAGGAAGTATGTGTTAAAAATTCTACACATTTCCTTATCACTGTCAGTGAGCTGACCCGAGGAACTTTTTAGTGGGCTATCTTGTCCCTGATCTTACTTCTGTATACTGAAAGAATCCTTTTGGGTTAGTCTTCGATTCTCTGCAACTTTAACCTCATAATTCTTTTTGCTTTTCTAATTCCCTTTTTATTTCTCTCTTTAACTGAATATATCGATTCTCAATTGCCCCTCTCCTCTTTTGATTTGCCTATATATGCCTCTCTTTTGACCAATCAGATATTTTAATCTATTGTTCATCCATTTAGGATCATTTTGTTTGATCTGATTTCCCTATTTGGAACATAATTTGACTGAGCAGCTAGAAACTATGCCCTGGAAACATCATATCGCAACCATCACCACCTACCTGACCCTTAGTCAGGTCATTCCAGTTCAGCCCACCTAAGTAATTTTTCAGTCCTATGAAATCAGCCAAGCGAAAGTCAGGGACGGAGACTTGATTGCCATTATTAGGGGAATTCCATGATATATTAAAACTGAGTGATTTGTGATCACTTTCCCAAGCTCATCATTAACCTCAAGATTATTAATTAGTGTTTCCCTACTGGCAAGAACCAAGTCAAGGAGGTTATTTCCCCTAGTTGGCTCTGTCACAAACTGTTTTAAAAAACAATCCTGGATCGTATCAAGAAAGTCACCTGACTCTAAATTTCCTGTCAAATTGCTCCAGTCAATCTGTCTATAGTTGAAATCTCCCATTAGCACAACATTTTCGTATGTAGATGCCTTACGAATTTCGTCCCATAGAAGTTTACTGCACTCCCTATCAAGATTTGGGGCCCTGTAAATCACACCCAAAATTAGTTTTTCTCGGCCCTCGAGAAGCTGTAACCAAACAGATTCAGTGGCTGACGCTTCTAATTTAATATTTGTCTAACACAACAATTTAAATTGTCTCTGACATACATCGCTACTCCACCACCTTTCCTGTTGACCCTGTCAGTGTGGAATAATTTATAGCCTTGTATGTGACATTCAGAGGGCATCTCTCTATCTTCAGATTGAGCCGGGTCTCTGTTATAGCAATAATATCTATGTTTCCTGCACTTGCAATTAATCTTAGCTCATCTATCTTATTTCTTACACTCCTGCTATTAGTATAGTAAAACCTTAAGGGAGCTAGTCCCTTGCTGCCCTCTGCTGTCCCCCTTTGTTTGCTGACCTGACTATTGTCTTTATTTATAACTTCATGCTGTATGCCTTTTATACATTTACTGTTTCCAACCCAAGTGTTGCAACCTGCTTGTTTCCCACACACACCCATACCTCTATCTTCCATCAGTTTAAAATCATAGGCATTTCACAATGGCCTTCTCAATCGAGTCTGCAAGTGCTACCACCCCAGCCCAGAGAGTGTACCCCATCCCTTGCATACATATCATGTTTGCCATAAAAGTTGTTCCAGTTGTCAATGAATGGGATAGCAAGTTTCCTTGCAGTATCTGTCTAGCCAGCAATTTACACCAATTGCCTAGACAACCATTCATTTCCTACTCCCTTCTAGGCAAGATGCTACATATGATTGGGATCCCTCCCTTAGACTTAATGAAATCTATAGCTGACCTGTACTTATCTAGCAGATCTTCTCTCCTACCCTTCCCAATATCATTTCCACCAGCACTGAGACAGATAATGGGCTTGTTCCCATTACCTGACATGATATTATCCAGCCTGTTGACAATGTCCCCAACACCAGCTCCAGGGAAGCACACACTATCTCTCATCTTCTTATTTCCTATTACAAAAAGCACGGTCAATATATTTACCTGAGAGTCACCAACCACAAGAATGCGCTTACCTCCATTAGCAGGGGCAGTAGTACCCTTACCTTCACTGGCCACTGAAGTACATTCATCCTGAAGAACAGAGAAGCGATTTCCTACCTTCAGATCTTCACTCTTAACTTTCCTTACTCTGATGCGCCCTTCCATTACTGTGAACCACTCGCCACTTGTAGCAGGTGCTGGAGTGCACCTCACTGCTGGTAGCCGTTGCTACCTCCCCAACTACAGCCTCCTCACAGCGAGAGACAGACTGCACCTCACTGCTAGAAGCCTCATTCCCCACAACTCCAGCCACCTCACACTCTCTCCCAGACCCATTGAGGTGGACCTTCAGCCTCCTAATCTCCTCCTGGAGAAGCAAGACCTCCTCCTTCAACTCTCCAACCTCAATTTTTAAAACACTGCAGAAGCAAGCCATGCTTTGTAACCGTCCACACTAATCCCCAAAGCAGCTCAGGGTCTGTGACCTCACGTGACGACTGACCACTGACCACTGACGACTGACCACTGACCACTGAAGTACCAACCACTCCGACACTATATCCCCCCCCCCCTGCTTTTAACATTTCTGTCATGACCCCATCAGTTCCAGCTGCTTTACCCCCTTTCATTCTATGTAGTGCCTCGCGTACCTCCCCCACACTTACATTCTGCTCTTCTTCACTCCTAAAAGATGGTATACCTCCCTGGCCAGTGCATGAAATTACCGCCTCCCTTTCTTCCTCAACATTTAAAAGTTCCTCAAAATATTCTCGCCATCTACCTAATACCTCCCTCTCCCCATCTACTAACTCCCCTACTCTGTTTTTAATTGACAAATCCATACGTTCCCTAGGCTTTCTTAATTTGTTTAACTTACTCCAAATTTTTTTCTTATTTTCATTAAAATTTCTTGACAGTGCCTCTCCCATTCTATCATCTGCTCTCCTTTTGCACTCTCTCACCACTCTCTTCACCTTTCTTTTACTCTCCATATACTCTGCTCTTCTTATAACACTTCTGCTTTGTAAAAACTTATCATAAGCTAACTTTTTCTCTTTTATCACACCCTTTACTTCATTCCACCAATCACTCCTCTTTCCTCCTGCCCCCACCCTTCTATAACCACAAACTTCTGCCCCACATTCTAATACTGCATTTTTAAAACTCATCCAACCCTCTTCACCCCCCCCCCCCACTACTCATCTTTGCACTAGTCCACGTTTCTGCCAATAGTCGCTTATATCTCATCCGAACTTCCTCCTCCCTTAGTTTATACACTTTCACTTCCCTCCGACTTGTTGTTGCCACCTTCCTCTTGTCCCATCTACCTTTTACTCTAACTGTAGCTACAACTAAATAATGATCCGATATTTCAGTTGCCCCTCTATAAACATGTACATCCTGGAGCCTACCCATCAACCTTTTATCCACCAATACATAATCTAACAAACTACTTTCATTACGTGCTACATCATACCTTGTATATTTATTTATCCTCTTTTTCATAAAATATGTATTACTTATTACCAAATCTATTTCTACACATAGCTCAATTAAAGGCTCCCTATTTACATTTACCCCTGGCACCCCAAATTTACCTACTACTCCCTCCACAATATTTTTACCCACTTTAGCATTAAAATCCCCAACCACAAGTACTCTCACACTTGGTTCAAAACTCCCCACGCATTTACTCAACATTTCCCAAAATCTCTCTCTCTCCTCTACACTTCTCTCTTCTCCAGGTGCATATACGCTTACTATAACCCACTTATCACATCCAACCTTTATTTTACTCCACATAATCCTTGAATTAATACATTTATAGTCCCTCTTTTCCTGACATATCTTATCCTTCAACATTATTGCTACTCCTTCTTTAGCTCTAACTCTATTTGAAACCCCTGATCTAATCCCATTTATTCTTCTCCACTGAAACTCTCCCACCCCCTTCAGCTTTGTTTCACTTAACGCCAGGACATCCAGCTTCTTCTCATTCATAACATCCACAATCATCTCTTTCTTATCTGCACAACATCCACCCACATGCAGACTTCCCACTTTGACAATTATCTTCTTATTCTTTTTAGTAATCTTTACAGGAAAAGGGCCCCTCAATGAAGGTTCCTTGATGTTGGTGAGGGTCCCTTGATTTAGGGAATTGGATCTGTGCTCCAGTTCCCCGAATTAAGCCTGAATGCCTTCCACATCCCCCCCCCCCCAGGCGCTGTATAATCCTCCGGGTTTAGCGCTTTCCCCTTGATTATAATAATAATAATACAGGAAAAGGGGTTACTAGCCCATTGTTCCCGGCATTTTAGTTGACTTTTACAACACGCATGGCTTACGGAGGAAAGATTCTTATTCCACTTCCCCATGGATATAAAAGGAAAAGTAGTAAGACCAAGAACTATTAAGATAAAATCAAAGAAAACTCAGATGAGTGTGTATAAATAAACGTATACATGTATGTGTAGTGTGACCTAAGTGTAAGTAGAAGTAGCAAGACATACCTGTAATCTTGCATATTTATGAGACAGACAAAAGACACCAGCAATCCTACCATCATGTAAAACAATTACAGGTTTTCGTTTTACACTCACTTGGCAGGACGGTAGTACCTCCCTGGGTGGTTGCTGTCTACCAACCTACTACCTACAAACAAATATACTCTTTATGTATTAAAGTAAGTAACTTCTTCAGAGCGAGAAAGAGGAGGTACTGGAGGAGTGCAGGAAGGCTGGTTACCTGGTGACCAAACTACAACGTAATCTCGACACCCGGGACCATGATCTCCAGAAAATTACATCAGGTAGGTGTTATAGTATCAAATAATTTTGAAGCGTTAAATCCACAAGGGTCATACTGTGTATGTGTGTGTGGACGGGGGGGGGGTAGAACCCATGAGTGTGTTTAACCTATAATTAATATATGTATTATTATAGAGAAAATGTGAAAATTGTGTGTTATATTGAAGATGATTTGTGTGTAGTAGCCAAGTTGTGATGTGTATGTTACAGTGATAATAGTATGAATGTAATATGGTGAGTATTTACTATGTGACAGTTTATAGTGAGGATTTAGTGTGTGAGCGTAATATAGTGAGGATTTAGTGTGTGAGCGTAATATAGTGAGGATTTAGTGTGTGAGCGTAATATATGTGAGGATTTAGTGTGTGAGCGTAATATAGTGAGGATTTAGTGTGTGAGCGTAATATAGTGAGGATTTAGTGTGTGAGCGTAATATAGTGAGGATTTAGTGTGTGAGCGTAATATAGTGAGGATTTAGTGTGTGAGCGTAATATAGTGAGGATTTAGTGTGTGAGCGTAATATAGTGAGGATTTGTGTGTGAGCGTAAATATAGTGAGGATTTAGTGTGTGAGCGTAATATAGTGATGGATTTAGTGTGTGAGCGTAATATAGTGAGGATTTAGTGTGTGAGCGTAATATAGTGAGGATTTAGTGTGTGAGCGTAATATAGTGAGGATTTAGTGTGTGAGCGTAATATAGTGGGATTTAGTGTGTGAGCGTAATATAGTGAGGATTTAGTGTGTGAGCGTAATATAGTGAGGATTTAGTGTGTGAGCGTAATATAGTGAGGATTTAGTGTGTGAGCGTAATATAGTGAGGATTAGTGTGGTGAGCGTAATATAGTGAGGATTTTAGTGTGTGAGCGATAATATAGTGAGGATTTAGTTTTGTGAGCGTAATATAGTGAGGATTTAGTTGTGAGCGTAATATAGTGAGGATTTAGTGTGTGAGCGTAATATAGTGAGGATTTAGTGTGTGAGCGTAATATAGTGAGGATTTAGTGTGTGAGCGAAATATAGTGAGGATTTAGTGTGTGAGCGTAATATAGTGAGGATTTAGTGTGTGAGCGTAATATAGTGAGGATTTAGTGTGTGAGCGTAATATAGTGAGGTTTTAGTGTTGTGAGCGTAATATAGTGAGGAATTTAGTGTGTGAGCGTAATATAGTGAGGATTTAGTGTGTGAGCGTAATATAGTGAGGATTTAGTGTGTGAGCGTAATATAGTGAGGATTTAGTGTGTGAGCGTAATATAGTGAGGATTTAGTGTGTGAGCGTAATATAGTGAGGATTTAGTGTGTGAGCGTAATATAGTGAGGATTTAGTGTGTGAGCGTAATATAGTGAGGATTTAGTGTGTGAGCGTAATATAGTGAGGATTTAGGTGTGAGCGTAATATAGTGAGGATTTAGTGTGTGAGCGTAATATAGTGAGGATTTAGTGTGTGAGCGTAATATAGCGAGGATTTAGTGTGTGAGCGTAATATAGTGAGGATTTAGTGGGGTGAGCGTAATATAGTGAGGATTTAGTGTGTGAGCGTAATATAGCGAGGATTTAGTGTGTGAGCGTAATATAGTGAGGATTTAGTGTGTGAGCGTAATATAGTGAGGATTTAGTGTGTGAGGGTAATATAGTGAGGATTTAGTGTGTGAGCGTAATATAGTGAGGATTTAGTGTGTGAGCGTAATATAGTGAGGATTTAGTGTGAGCGTAATATAGTGAGGATTTAGTGTGTGAGCGTAATATAGTGAGGATTTAGTGTGTGAGCATAATATAGTGAGGATTTAGTGTGTGAGCGTAATATAGTGAGGATTTAGTGTGTGAGCGTAATATAGTGAGGATTTAGTGTGTGAGTAATATCTGCTAGGCATGACTAAGCTGTCCACTATTTATCATGAATGGTAATGTGACAGTGATATAGACCTAGTTGTATAATTAACAGTAAAGTGACTTACAAACCATGTGAGGCAAGATCATAAGTGCTTTATTGCAAAACCATGTGCTGACTTAAATAACTTGACATTAAGAATTACCATTGATTTCCATACTTTATATGCCATACTTGTAATAATATCTACTTGTTAAGCTACTCTTTAAAGTTTATATTATTTTGAAGCAGTCTGTTAGATACCGTGTTACTGCGAAATGTATTATAACGCACTCACACCAGAGAGAACACGGGTGGAACCCCTCTATCAAGCAGGAGATACGGGCAATTCTTTTTAACGGTTACTGTCCTGTGGCTCAAATAGCAACAGTTTCGACTCATATATGAAAAACATGGGTTCGATCCTAGCACAAGCGCAACATTGGGTATGTTTCCTTTCACCTGTTGTACCTGTATACCTAGCAGTAATTAAGTACCTCGGGGTTAGGCGACTGGCGTCGTCAGCGTCGGATTTGCCAGTAAGTGTAGGGTAAGTGGCTGTTCAGTGCCCCAACTGCTGAGGACCCCTAAATCATTAACTATTTATTTTTTTAACTTTGTGAGTGCGCCCCCAGCTGTGACATTTGATAGTTTGCAACCCTGTTACTATAAATACTTAATTTCAAATTATATAAACCGTTTCAATTCCGAAATCAAAACGCAATTTTCTAGCTCTTCTCATACTATGTTAAATATTTATTTTAGAAAAGTCATTTTATACAACTTACTGGCAGCGGGGTAGTAGCAGTCATGCAGTCAATGTATGTCTCGTTCTAATGCTAAAAAAATAATTTGCGCTAGTGCAACAGCTGACACTAGCGAGGGGCCCACTAAATGTTACCCTTAGGCTCCCTGGATCCCTAAATCCACTGCTGGTTGGAGGTTATAGCCAGGGAAAGAGGATCAAAATACCTCATTGGAAATAAGGTCGACACAGTTTTTTTTTGGGGTTATTTTGGTTAATACGGAAGGGAAACGGAGTTGTCAACGTTGTGGGTCGCATTGGGGGAGAATTTAAAAGGACCCAAATTTAAAAAAGTCAATTTTTGGGCTTAACTGGGAAACTTCGGAAAATAAATAATGAAATAATATCGAATAAAAACCCTTCTTATATGAGTGCTTTCAGGATTGGTGTTGTCAAAATTTTTAGGAAAAAATGCGCTGTAAGCCCTTGGGCTTGCGCTTCTTTTTGATTATAAAAAATTTAATATTTAAAATAAAGAGGGGGAAAATGCAATACCTGATGCTTATTTTAAAAGACTACGATAAAATAAGATTTGTTCGGATTTTTACCCGGGGGTAAACCACCGGTTACCCAAGAAAGTCAGTGCGTCTTGAGGCTGTCTTTTTTCCATTGGGTCCTTTAAAGTTGTCCCCAGGATGCGACCCACACAGTCGCATAAACACCCAAGTACCTTCTTAGGTGAACGGGACGCAATTGTAAGGAAACCGACCCTTATGCGTGTCTAAATTAAAACCCTTCCCCTTTTTAAAATTACATAAATTTCAAAAAAAAACGTTATTTGGAGGGGAAGAAGGGAATGTTTGAAAATTTGTAACCAAACCCCTTTAGGGGGTGGCTTGGGTGGTAAATGAGCACGAGGGGCGGTTGGAGGCAGTGGGATGTCTGTTAAGGGATGTGTGGTGTAAATATTAGCAGAATTAGGGTGTGGAAATTAGGGAAGGTGTGGAGTAATAAAGTATAGTCAGAGGGTGAGAGGGGTTGTTGAGGTGGTTTGGTTTATTTAGAGGAATGGTCAAGTTGAAGACATGGAGAGGTTTTTTTTAAAACTGGGGAAGGAAGGGGGGGGGGGGTTTGTCCCCGAAAAAAGGGGGGAAGGAAGGGGTAAGGGGGTTTTGTGGGCGAGGGGCTTGGACTTCCAGCAGGCAGGCATGAGCGTGTTCGATAGGAGTGAATGGAGACGAATGGTATTTGGGACCTGACGATCTGTTGGAGTGTGAGCAGGGTAATATTTTAGTGAAGGGATTCGGGGAACCCCGGTTATTTTTATATAGCCGGACTTGAGTCCTGGAAATGGGAAGTACAAAGCCTGCACTTTAAAGGAGGGGTTTGGGATATTGGCAGTTTGGAGGGATATGTTGTGTATCTTTATACGTATATGCTTCTAAACTGTTGTGTTCTGAGCACCTCTGCAAAAACAGTGATTATGTGTGAGTGAGGTGAAAGTGTTGAATGATGAAAGTATTTTCTTTTTGGAAATTTTCTTTCTTTTTGGGTCACCCTGCCTCGGTGGGAGACGGCCGACTTGTTGAAAAAAAAAATCCAAACCACATATAAAGCACGTTGTAATGTACTGTGATTGAATTCATTATCACCTCAGTACGTCTGTACCCCTCTGTGTTAATGCATACTTAAAATTGTACTATTGTACAATTAGGTACCTCACTTTTGTACATTAAATTTTTTTTTTTATATTTTATTTAAAACCATACACAAACATGAGGCACAAGAAATTCAAACAAATATATTGCACTGAATGAAAATCCTTACATCGGATATTGAAACAATACCTATTACCATTACATTGTTAACATTATAACAACTATAACCAATACTATATCTGATGCCGAAGCTTAGACTGTCCTAAACTAAATACATGTGTATAAGTTAACACGCTAGATAACAGGGATATCTTGCTACTCCTACTTACACTTTGGCCACACTTCACAGACACGCACATGCATATATATATATACATACATCTAGGTTTTTCTCCTTTTTCTAAATGGCTCTTGTTCTTCTTTATTTCTTATATTGTCCATGGGGAAGTGGAAAAGAATCTTTCCTCCGTAAACCATGCGTGTCGTATGAGGCGACTAAAATGCCGGGAGCAATGGGCTAGTAACCCCTTCTCCTGTAGACATTTACTAAAAAAGAGAAGAAAAACTTTATAAAAAATGGGAAGCTTGAATGTGCGTGGATGTAGTGCGGATGACAAGAAAAACAGATGATTGCTGATGTTATGAATGAAAGAAGTTGGATGTCCTGGCCCTAAGCCCAAACAAAGCTGAAGGGGGTAGAGGAGTTTCGGGGGGGGGAAATAATGGGATTAAATCTGGAGTATCTGAGAGAGTTAGAG